CAGTGAGTGAGTTGGCCTTCTTTTACACACAAATGACAGCACAGGACAAAACATGATAAAGTGACAACAGTGCTCAATACTAAAGGGAAAAGCCCTCAGTAAAAACAAGATAGAGTTAAGCATCAGCATTATGAAGATATGCTCATTTCTTACTTTTTGAAATGTTTACAAACCAAACCTTTAATCCAAATATTGGCTACAAAAATAACATCCTGCATTCACATTTAATGCATGAGTGATATAGATATAATGACAGAATGTATCGTAACCTTGTTAAAATTCATTAAATGCCTTTTTATTTGATGTATTGTTATGTAAATTATACTTATTAAACTCAGAATTAAGGCTCAAATTACTACTTTTATAATTATTGCAATAAGTAGACGCTGCTTCCAGTAACTCTAATCTTTCTTGTGAATGTTTATACATTAAGGACTTTTAAGGACTCTTACTTGCGGTGGATCATTTTCCCAGTTGCCTACTCTTGGATGATCCAAAGTCAGACCAGAGCTTCTCTAAATGTGCAGTAACTTTAATGGGAAAAGTTCTTAACAGTAGTTTAAAAAGGTAGGTAGACTGAATACTTATTTTAATCTAACTGTTGTAACAGCTTATTGACTGTTTGGGTCAACACAATTTCCTTAAGTGCCGATAAATTATGAAAATAACAGCTCTTCTGTTATCAACCTGCGGTTTAGATATGATATTTAGTTACCATGAGATTTCATAAAATAATAGTTCATTTTACAGCCTGATTGTGACATCTAGTGGTCAGTGGAGGTATTGAGAACATTTGCATCAGTAAAAGTACTTAAATTGAAAGATAAAATGCAGCCAGTAGTGGTCCTGCATTGAGACAGCAGTTTGAGTAGAGGTATAAATAAACAGGAACCGTAAAAGTAGAAATGCTTCTTCGTGATACACATTCTATAATTAAATGATTTTAAGGTATGTATGAAATGAGTTATCCAAATAGTCTGCATCAAAGCCAGTGATCATTGTACCTGTTGAGATGTTTTAATAACAATGTGACAAATTTTATGGATATTTTTGATTAATCTCATGATATTAAAACACAAGTTTAAGTGGAATACAGTAAATTAAACACGCCTCATTTGAGCTTAAGCTAGATCTAGTACTTGAAAATGGCTACATCATTACCATATTGAAATCTGATGCAGCGTTGCTACCGAAATGACAAAACACAAACACATTATTCATCTTCTTTATGCGTTTATTTACAGCCAAACAGTCTCACACTTCAACAGACAAACAGTCAAGTAAAGCTTTACCTTTGTACACGTTCAGGAGCAGTAACAGTAAACGTTAGTGTAAAGGACAAAGGAGAGGTATGTGAAGCTGAAGATTCAGTGCTGCTGCTGCTGCTGCTGCTGGTTTTAGCGCCTCAGAATCTCCCATAAGCAACATTTAATTGGAGTTCCACATTTTAAGTGCATCTTCACATAATTCTCAAAACCACCAAGCCAACTGTAAAATAAATATTATGTTGCATTCATTTACCAGCAGATTAAGAATATAAACATTTTAAAACCCTTCAAATATTTCCCCAATACCACTGATCAATATTCATCTTAATCTTCAGAAATTCTCATTTCTATAATTCGGAATAAATCACATATTTTAACCACCTCCACAACAGTGGTTGAAGCGCAGACAGATATATCATTTAACAGTAAAAATATCAAGGCTAGCACAACTCTGCTAAAAATAAAGCCCTGCATTTAAAATATTGGGTGCTAATTTAATATTAGCATCAAAATGTACGAAAAAGTGCTTAAATTAAAAAAGGGCTTTTTGTGCAGACCGGCCCATTTCAGAATAATGTTTATTTTTTAATAAATACATGATTAAAAGGTAATGTCAGAACTACTTTGAAATTATTGCAAAAGTTGGTGAAAATGTGTAAAGTAGTATGAATGCATCTGTAACTCTTTTTAACGGTTAATTCCTGCAGGACACACCTGGAAAGAGACCTCGGTCTCCGCTCACCCAAAAAAAGAAAAGAAAAGTGCATATCATTTTAATTTTGAAGCTAGTAAAGTTGGACCTAACTAAAACTACTTCACACACTGTTGTGTTGATTAATCTGAATACAAACTTGGATAATCAATTTGTTCTGTCGAGTGGTTCCAGCTTTCCAACAGAAAAACATGGTATGCGTTTCCTGTAGTTAACAGGAAATCTGGAAGTCATGAGTAGCTGTATGTTTAACTGACATTACCATGTTACAGTTCTCTTTCAGCATGGTATCTGGTTTCTTGGAGAGAAGTGTATTTCAGACATGTTTAAAGGACTAGTTTGGAGGATTAAGTTTGTAGTGAGATCTATAAATAAAGCTATGCTTCCTTTAGAATTTGAAATACAAAGGATGAAGATCCTTTTCGAATGTGTCTACAGCAGCCTACAACAGATAAACCTCAATTTAGCTCAAGAAAGTGTTTCTTGTGTTTTGGAAGTTTCTCTTCCACCAGAAGTTATTTTACCCATTGAACAACATTTAATGGAAGATTTATAAAACTGGAGAAACACTAAACTGAAGCCTGAAAAGTAGAGTAATACAAAAGGGTAAAACATGAGAGCTATGTTTTGTGCGTATTATTTTGCAGCCCTGAATATTTCAAACCTGTAAAGCTACCTGTGAGGTTTCACACAGCGCACTCTGAAGAATGGCTCATCTTACACTCTGGCAGCAGCAACAACAGACTAGACAGATGTAGCACAGAAGACACAAATAAAGAATAAATCTTAAATATTTCTGTATAAAACTATAAATAAATAACACTGACAAGTTTCCGGGTGAGTCCTGTTAAGGTGCGGAATGATCTAGAATCGAGGAAGGAGCTGCTGCGCGTCGTTTTAAAAGTCAGGGTGTGGGTGCAGCTGAAGGATTAGAGGGTCAGTGTGTGTTTTCGGGATATATTTCGAGTGCGTGAGGGTTCAAGGGTTGAGTCTAGCTGACAGACTTCAGTGTGGACCAGCGGTGCGTCCCGCGGACCTCCAGCGGCACGTCGTTGCTGAAGATGTGGTTGCAGAGCTCCTCCAGCGGCGGCTCTGGATCTGAAGTCGCAAACTGAGCAGCTTCCTCCACCTCCTTTCGGATCGCAACATCGATTTCCTGACAGAACAGAGGGGATTCACGTTAAATCCATACAGCGCCATGGGACAATAGAAGACTTGTTTTCTTTGTTCTCACGTACTCTGAAGGGACTTTACTGAGCGTTTGTTACAAAATAGTCTCATACTAGCAATAGATAATAGTCTTTAACTTAAAGAAGGACAAGGGGTGTTGAATAGCCTAGGGGTGATGCTGCACGCCACATGTAGTGAGGCATGTTCTTTCGTTGAACATAATAAACCAACAGATTTCTTTGTGTGCACTCACCTTGAACTCCTCTACAGAGGCCATGTTGTTGCTGAGCATGCGCTCCTTCAGCATGGTGATGGGGTCACTCTTACTGCGGACTTCCTGGATCTCCTCACGAGTGCGGTAGCTGCAGGAAGCGACATCACAGTAAGATCAAAAGTCTGCATATACTGCCATACGTTTGTGTGAAAGAAATAGTATTTAATATGTCCTGATAGATGCCATGAATGAGCTTTATGCCCCCCCCCAAAAAACAAACAAAAAAAAAAAAAAAAGTCCTGCATCTAGCTGCATTAAAAAGAAAAACAAAAAAGTGCTTTGTTCTACATTTCTGAACAACAAACTTCTTGCTGAATATGTGTCATATCCAACAAACCAGCAGCTGATAAGGCCTTACAACCTGGAGGTTCACCACCAGACTAAGAAACTGATCACAGAAATCTACAGAGGTTACCAAGTGAATGCTTTCTTACCTGACGCCTGGATCGCTCATGCTGTGTCCATGGTAACGGTAGGTCTGCAGCTCCATCACAATGGGACCCTGAAGTGTAGAAAGATTATGTCTCAGAGTTCATCCAAACTCCTCTCACCACTGAAAAGCCCCCCCGCAACCGTGTGCATGTCCATTACACTGGAGCACTTCTAAGTGTGTGTCACTAATGAATTGCAACACTACAAAGGTAATATGTAATTGGCCACAGCAAATCTTTCAAGATTTTAAAGCTGTTGAAAAGAAAGTACAGGTAAATAATGTTTTAAAACTAAAGAATAATGTGTCTAAGAAGATCAGTCACACACAAAGAAAAGTTGTTCTAAAGAAAAATAACTCTTAATATCTTATCCCTAAACTCTCCACCAGCTTATTGTCTTTGAAATACCCAGGTTTAGTAAATTGTTCTCTCACCTTTCCAGCTCTGCAGTGATCTGCAGCAAACTTGGTGGCCTCTCTTACACACAGAACATCCATCCCGTCCACCTGCAAGAAAATTGAGGTTACAAGAGTAACCAGACAAACAAGTCTTAGAGACCACCTTAGGGACTTTTTATTTATGTATGTTTAACTTAAATATCTGAATGCCTCTTCTGAGACGGGATGTTTGTGTGCAGTATCATACATGAGCATCAGACAGCTGTATGAATGCTCACACCTGCAACTGCCAGGACGGCTCGTTAGCCTCCTGTTATAGTCTCGGTCCATTCAGGCCAGCTGCAGCGTACAGCCAACAGACACACTGCAGCTTCAGCCCAAGACCCCCACAGTTTAAACACGTCTAAGATGAGCAAGAATCTGGTCTTTATAAAGCCGGGCTGGAGTCTAAATGACTAATGGAACAAGAAGTTGAGAGATCGGATTTTGAAATCAAGTGTCTGTACACATTAGAGAAAGGATCTCAGCAGAGACAGACTTTTCTGCTTCTTAAAAACAGCAGTAAAATTTCTTCAAGGCTGCCTACCTGTCGGAGACAAAAAACAAGAAGTTTGGATTGTGAGGCCTTTGCCCCATTAGTATTATGATGCAAACATCATAGCCTTTTTAGCAGCTACCATCTTAAGCAACCCTTTGAGACAATTCCAAACCTTTCTGCATCAGTCATTTAGACCCCAAGGTATATCATAATCAGGCACAGGATTAAAGAAGTCTAAACTTCCGACAGAGCGACAGGTTTTCCTCCTGCAGTGTCTTGTTTGTGTCTCACTCTGATTCCTGGTATGTAGTCTCCTCTCTTGTAATAGTCAGTGCTGGCCGACGCTCTCTCCACCGACGTCCCCATGCCGTACTTGTTGTTCTCACAGATGAAGATGCAAGGCAACTTCCACAAGGCAGCCATATTGAACGACTCAAACAGCTGTCCCTGATTTGGATCAGAGAGGACAGATGATAAGATAAACCTTTCTTTAACCCACAATGATGGTGTTACCAGAAGTAAAGAATGTCAAAAAATAAAGAACAAAAAAGGTAACACACAAATTATCAAGAAGCAGGGGTGTTGAAGGAAAATACATTTCCATTATATGACCTAATGATTTAGGAATATTTACCTGATTGGCTGCCCCGTCTCCGTATAGTGCGGCACACACCTGATTGTTGCCCTGGTACTGACATGCCAGAGCGATGCCAGCACCCAAAGGAACCTGGAAAATACAAAAACCAATCAGTGTGTATGGCTTATATTGTCACTTCAAATATTGGGATTATCAAGATCATCAGCTCATTGCTTGTGCCAAGGCAATCAAAGTTCACCTGTGCTCCCACGATGCCGTTTCCCCCGTAGAAATTTGGAGCGTACATGTGCATCGAACCTCCTTTGCCTTTGGCCACACCCCCTTTGCGACCTGCAGAGGAATACAGATGAGATTCATAAGAGTGACGGTTCTTCATGTCTGACATACAAAACATTTCTTGAGGAGAGTTCAGTTTTAATCCTCTCACCTGTGAGCTCGGCCAGGATCTCCTTGATGGGCACCCCGCGGGTGTACGTGTACCCGTGGGCGCGGTAGGCTGTGATCAGGTGATCTGAGGGATTGATTGCTGCCTCGATACCTGCTGCACACGCTTCCTGCAGGGAAGACACAACTTAGAATATGCAGATTTGGGGGGGGGGGGGGGGGGGGGCACCCATGATAGAGTTTTTCCTTTGCTTGGTTCTTTATTCATGATTTTGGTAAATATATTTAAGTGTATTAATTGTTTCCTTATTTAGTTTGGATGACCATGAGTTGCTGATTTAAAAAGAAACATTGATAGCAGAGTCTCAGTTCTAACCTGTCCATCATACAGGTGACAGAATCCTCTGATGATCTTCTGTTTGTACAGCTGATCAGCTTTGAGCTCCATGCGCCTCACAGTCTGCATGATGTGGTAATACTGCAGGCCCTGCTCCCGGGTCAGCTCCGCCTTCACTGGAGGACCCTCCTCCAGGCGGTGCACGTCGCATTTCTACCACACGGTATGGCAAAAACATGATGTGACTGTTAACGGCTGGCTTTTGAAATTTCATGTTAAGAATACAAGTTTATACACAAGTTGTGTAAATCCAAACAAAACATTATTCTGTGCAGTCACATTTTGAATTTCCCTATCTTACTCTGATTCGGGTGTTTAACCAACCTTGATATCGAATGTTGCCTTAGGGGTGAAGTCAGCGTAGGAGCGGGAAACCACAACTCTGGTCCCCTGGTGATCGAAAAAAAAACACAATGGAAAAGTTTATCAAAACGCACAAACACATGGCTCATAATCACAACACAAGTTAAACAAAAGAAGTCTCCCACACAGACAGTGTGAGTTCTGCCCTCCTCCTCCTCACAGCAGGTGGAAGGTGAGGGTGGCTATGGGCGTAACGGCAGTCTAGGATGTGGGGAGGTCAGTAACAGGCAGGAATCATGAACAATATCCAAATATTCAGCCTTGGCTCTGAACCAAAATTATTTTAGTCCTGGAAAATATAAAAAGTAAGTCCATAATAAAAACAGCCACCTCTGAAGCCAATTGAAAGTGGATGGACATCCCTGTTAATAAACATGATCAACTTTAGACATCTTTAATGGTTAAGCTTATCATCATTAACCTTACATTTGTATGATATTAGTCAGTATTTGAAAAGTCACTGATGAAGCTCATAAGAATTTCTGATAACAGCTGTGAAGAAAGAGGATAGATCATTCATATGTTTGGAGTTATGTCACACAGAAAGCATTTCAAAAGGATTAGTTTGACCTCAGAGAAGTTGTCAGAAACCCATCACCTGTACAGAACAGAAAAATTAATCCATTCATCTGAAAGAAATCATGCATAGATCATGTAATAATAAAGTTTGAACCCCGTTTATAATAAATGCCCGGGTAACACAAACACCTGTGACTTTAAGTTTCATCCACAACCTTCAATCAAAATAATCATCGGAAAGATTCACGCCCAGAATTGGATCTGAAATCGTTGTCTTTTGATAACTTTAAGAGGTTACTTCTGCCACATCAGCCCACAGACACACAAGTGAAGCCCCCTACCCCGGTTAGTAATCAGGCAGACATGGAGGATGCTACTTGTGTTCTTACTGGTCTGTCTAGCTGGTCGCTCTGGGTGCTAACTAACTCTGCAGCAGGCGCTCTAGCACTGACTGGTGGTGGTTTGGGTGGTTGCCGCTGGGTCTGTGCCAAGGCGGGCGCCGGCGGTGACGTCACATTGACGTACTCTGACAGGTCAATCAGCAACTGGGGAGCACAGGAGCCAACCAATCAGAGCACAGCACAACACAGATGGAGGAGCTCTACAGAGTCTACAGGTGAGGAGGCGTCTACAGGTGACAACAGCAGCAGCTACATGGAGAATGCGCACACACACACACACACACACACACACCTAGAGGACAACATCAGGAGAAACTCACTTGGGGAACTGGAACCAGCCCAACAGTGTCTACTTTAGATCTGATATTTAGAAATTGGCACAACATTTTAAAAATAGTTGATTCACAAAATAAATTTCAGAAATTTGAGACCCAATTAAACTGAACATAATAACAGAGTATCATGAAACGATGTTTTCTGAGATGGTTACCCTACCATGTTTGTCATAATGTGTAAATCTTTGTTTTTCTTAAAAAGAAAAGGCCATAGTCGTGTTTCACTGACGGAGAAGAGGATGAGATTCTCAGACCCCTCCGGGTTTGTGTGTTGCATCACAACATTTTGCTTTCTGACATTCATCTTTAAAAATGTTAACACAACACTTTAACATGACGATAGTAACCAACTTCTGTAAAGACAATCATTCCGATGCAGAGAGGGCGGGCTAATAGATGTTGTGCCAATGTGAAATATCACTGGAACACGTTTGACCCGGGTAACTGGGTTGACTGCGCTACAACAGACGAGTAGATCAAACATCACAGTATCATGTAAGAGAAATAAAAAAAGAACGAAACTGGTGTCCGGATTAAGAGTTTAACAAATGTAACAATTTAAAAAAAGACAATAAAACTACAAACAGTTACCTGCTGTGAGCTACAGAAGCAAACTGTATCGACGTGAGAAAATAAAATCTGCTCTCTTTTTCTGAATTAACCAGATCCTCAAAAGCCTAACAGCACCTCTCATTCAGACCACTGAAGAGGAGCAAAATTTCCTAGAACATTTATTTTGTTAGGGTTTGAAACATGGGGGAAATCGCTTGTGTCTCGAGGCAACATAGACGGTACTTTTCAATGAGTTTGTCGACTTTAAATCTTTGCAGTTCAGACGCAACCCCCCACTGAGCCGCCAGGATCAGCTGTGCCGATGTCACACAAGCTGCACTGACTTAACGTGATGCATCTACAACACATTTGGGCTGGCTACATGGTGACTCGACGTAGGACACTCGAGATGCAAGTTTGCTGAAAATGCTGGATTCCCCCGCTGTGCACCTGAGGCACTCTGGTGTTGTGCGGCGAGATGAAGCCACCTCATAATGTTAATTCAGTGAAACAGAGCAGTTCTTTTTATTTCATCATGTTGCAAAATACACTTCTGTAGTGATCTGCACACTAGCTTTAAAATTAAACATTTTTTTCCTGCTTTAGAGTATTCTAGAAGAACTCTTTGAGACACATGCAGCAGTGAAGAACTGTAGGAACGGACCTGCACATAGAAATCAGCTGAGCATTGAGCTTCTTACCTCGGACACTGTTTGGGCCCCCTATGGTTCAGGCGAGGGGGGGGGAAGAGGAGAAGGGGAGAGGAGGGAGAAAAGCAAGAAATAAATAGGGATTGATGCGTTTCTTCTGAAGATTGTGCGAGAAAGTGAAGAGGGATTGGAGGAGAGAGAGAGAGAGGAAGTGCTGCAGAAAGAAAGGGTTCCTACAGTCACACAGTGGTTTGTTTTTATAGTCAGATTACTCTTTGAATAAATAGAATAATCTAGTTTATCAAACATGGTTAAAGCTGAGTTGACTTAAGGATCCCTGCTTCTGATGAAGAAAGAAAAACACAAACAGGCACACATGCTGTTGCCAGAGCTGCAGACCAATATCCTACATGTTTGCATTTTTGCATTTAAAGTGGATATTGGTCTCATCGGTGCATCTCCTTTGGTTTAAGCTGCTCCAGAAAGACAAACCACCACAATCAGACAAGAAGCACAAAAGAAATGAAACTGTGCAGAGAAGAAACAGAGTAAAGGAGTCATGGAGACGACACAGAGTAGATGTGGATATCCGGTTAAAAACGAGCTCTTGATTCATTAAATATTTACTTTGTTAACGACAAGCAAGCACAACTTACACGATTTATCTGACCCCCAACATGCAAACTGCAAAGCAAGAGTCGAACTAGCCTCAGAAGCTAATGTTCCGCCCGCCTCACAAGGTCAGCCTCCTCATGCCAAACAAAACCACACGAGCTAACAGTTAGCATGAACCCGCTCAGCGCACAAACGACCCCAAGCTCAAAGTTTCCCCCCCAAAAAAAACACTCACCACATTCCTGCCAGTGATCCTGCAAAGTGCGTTAGAGAGAATGGTTAACATATTTTTCATGCTACTGGACGACGAGCCGGCTCTGAAAGGATTAAAGGTTGGTAATCGCTGCAGCAGGGTGCTAGTTCAGTGTTTAGTGTCCGTCTGCGAGTGGAGTCCGACGAACACTGTCTGAGTCAGAGAATGGTTCCTTGTGGATTTTATAGCAGTCCGAAAGGAAACTCATTTTTTTTTTTTGTCAATTTTGTTTCATAAAAAAAAAAAACAATAAAGTTAAGATAACATAAAATAACATAAAAGACATAAAATCACAAATTTTGAATGAAAAGGAGCAGAAAGATTAATCTTATAATATCTGCCTCTCAATCAAAAAAATCAAAGAAAAATATGCGATATTAATAATAAAAACCCGATCAAATAAAAACAAATATCTCTATGATAGACAACACATGTGCCAAAAATTAAATAAAATAAATTAAAGAAAAATATCGGGGCAGTTTTACAGTTAAACTGAACACATTTATTTCAGGCTAAAGTTGATTTAATAACTTTCGATTACGTACACGGTAAACGGTAAAGCAGGAATATCAAATTGGCATTATAAAATTAGGATTATGTAGTTAAATAAAAACTTCTATAAATTGTATCTTCTCCTTTATGATAGTAAAAGATAATACCACATTCGTTCTAAGCACTAATCTCACTGCCTGATAAGTCTGGGTTGGTTATTGTGAGAAACAGTAATGGCATTTTGAAACATTACCTTATGTCTTTCTGATTTGAAAAAAAAAAGGTTTGCCAAAAGATTCTGTTAAACAGAAATAATTCAAGTTTTGACTAGTTTCATTGCATTATATTCACTTTCCCACAAACTCATTAAAAGCAAATGACACATTCAAGATAAATAAGAATCAATTTATTGCATTTGAGTAAATACACAATTTCAGTACACCTCTTTCTCACTGCAGTCTGACACATTCAGAATAAAGCTTCTCACTCAAAGTAAAGAGTACAGCTTTGTGCGTATAAGCGACAGTGGAATATAAAAATGTAACATATCTGTAAAGCCATGCAATCTTTAAAAAAGGGAATATAGTTTATGAGGTAAATGTAAGGCGAGGAACAGAAGTTTGTCTCACTTTTTCACCACTAAAACACGACTGAAGTTGTAAACGCAGACTGCGCAAACTAACTCTGATTACACCTGTGAAACAAAGAGCAGATACATCTTAAAATAATAAAAAAACTGCATTTGTGTTGTTCATACAACAAAATGTAAAGCAACAGAATTCAAACAAAATCGAACATGTGGGTTGTGTAAAGTTAAGATGGTGTGATACAAAAAAATATCTGTACTAAACGCATTCATTCTTCAAACACACACACACACATATATATATATATCAAGACTGGTAGGTCAGATGCTGTAAGGCTTCAGCAGGTTTGTGACATTCTGGTTTCAGGACTCTATAGTCTGATTGAAGTGTCTTTTCCCGTCCAGATACAGCATCGACTCTGTTAAAGAAAACACAGAACAACAGCTTCAGACATATAAAACGACATGAATATTGTTCTTTTAGGACTTTTAAGACGGATTTGAAATTGAGTCTGTATTTTCTCTACTTGAGGTTTTTACTTGATGACAGCTTCTCTTTCAGTCAAACTCACCTCCGTAGGTCATTGGAATGATGTTGGGGACGTCCCGGTCAGACACGAAGGTGAAGTGGAAGACGTTGGTCGTGTTGCTTTGGCGGGTCAGCGGGTCGAATACCTCACTGTGAACTCTAACCTGGACGTAGTTCCCCTGTGTGTAACACACCTGAAACAGAAACACACACCAAACAAGATAAGCTGCTGGTGGAAAAAACAACAACATGGAGGTTCCCAAACCACAGCCAGGATGCTTTAAAAAAACAGGGTGGATTAACACAGCTTGATTTACTTTTTTTACTACCTTGATTTTTAAAGACAATTTAATGCCCTTATTCAAATTGTGTTTGAAAAATGGTACAAATGACTATTAATCATTCCAGACGATATATTTACAGACTGTACTCAGGCAAGAACATACAGTATAGTTTCATCCATTTCAAGTTCTCCATGCTGGTTATGAGACCTAGAGTCCATGCAGAGTAGCCCAAAGTAAACACATTAAAAACACTCAATTTAAACTGCATGTGAATCCATCGTATCCTATCATTTGATGGTATCGTTACCAAACATATCAGATCAGATCGTAGACTACCTTCATTCATTGTATTCACATTCTGTATTGGGCAGCTTTATGTCTGTGGCAGTTGAATCATCATATCCTATTTCATCAGATTCCCATAACAGATTTGCTTATGGATACAACAAACAAATGGTGTCGCTTTGCAGTTGCATCATATTGTATGGAAGCGCTGGACGGGTTTAAATTGAGGCAAATAAAGAAAGTGTCGAGTTTGTACTTGATATTGTAAAGAAACTCTTACAAATTAATCAGAACAGAAAACATGAAACTTCAAAAAAAGAGGACATTTTTCTTATCTAGAAAAGGAGAATTACAAAAAATCCCTGTCTCATATATAAGCCTGCTTTTACCAAAGGCCTGTTACAGTCTGTCTGGGTGAATAACCTGGTATCTTTCCAATTATCTTTGAGTAAGCCTCAAAGAATCTAATCTGACTCACTGTCTGGCCACATGGCATCAAACCCTTGAATCCCAACTCTTCTCCATAATACATATAACATTCAAGGGTCTAGTAAATCAACCATTCATTGATTAAGTACCAGAAACCTCAAATATTTCTTTGTAACAATACGTATTTATGAACGAATAAAAATCTATTTAAATTTAAAGCTGAAAGATTTGATATTTCAGCTACTTGAGGTCAACAAGAAGTCAAACTCAACACTGACTTTATGATTCATTTATGAATGTGATTAGTTTTATCTAACAGTTTCCCTTTTCAACATCCAACACAAACAGCAACATTAGCATCTCATTGGGGCCATGTTTGTGTCCACCTGAAATATGTATGTTTAACACTGACTTTGTTTTTGTTCAGGTTTTTATTTTTCAACTCCTATCTGGCTCTTTAGCATCTAAACTCTCCACTTAGTCCACCAGCTGGTCTCCATCTGTTTGCTCAGGAGTCACTGGAGGGTTTCCCCCCCCTCACACCAGAACATAGATCTAACTGTCAAGAATCACACAGACTTTCTGACCTGTGATGAGAGCAGCAGCAGGGAGCCGATGTCCACAGGTTTCTGGAAGAGGATATCATCCACAGCCACCAGACTCGGCCGACACCCTCTGCAGCACGGAGTGAAAGAAAAACAAACACTATATTTTCTTGCAGTAACATGATGTCCCTTCTCTCTCCAACATCATCTTTTCTAAAAGCTCTCACCCATAGGAGCATGCGTTGGCCCAGCCCAGCTCGTAAGCTTTCCTCATCAGAAAACCTCCAAATATCCTGTTGAAGATGTTCCTCTCCTGATTGACATAGAAACAGGAAAACAGGCTTAAAGTTATAGATATATGTCCTGTTTAAATCTGTGTTACTAATAACAGTTGGAAAAAAAATTGGGGAATGGTTTGAAGTAGCATGAGAAAAACTTGCTGTGGTCAAAGAGCAATTTGATGGTTCTAACAAGACTTGAAGCATCGTCAGAGTTACATTAATGAAGGTTAAAAGAGAGAATATGGGACATGAATTGGTAACAACCTGAGGGTGGCAGATCTCCAGTCCTTTCAGTTTGGCATCTTCCATCCACACTGAGTTTGGGGGAAGCAGTCTGCTGCGGAAACTGACCGTCCTGCAGGAGGAGACGCAAATAAATACACACCAAGTCATAGATTTAATACAGTGCATCTTAAAATAACATAAAAAGAATTAAGAAATGTTTCTAATTCTAAAACAGCCTAACCACAACCCTTCATCTGTGAACTGCATACAAAAACATCTCAAACATGGCTTTTTTAAAAAAAAAAACTAGTCACTGCATGAAGAATCTGGCCTTTAACACAAACTTCACACATGTATTATATCTTTTTAGGTGATGCTCTGAAAGTAAATGTCTCCTAAAGAATATCGGATACACCATTTAAATTGTTGTTCTTTTTAACCACAGACTTTCTGAAGTAAATCAGTTTTTAAACTCAGAAGAGAATCCCTGATCACGGCTCTCCAAGTGACTCTTTGAAGGTTAAACTGAATATTAAAAGTGTTAGAAAAGATGATTGAAACCAGCTTTTTATGAAGATTCATGTTGTTTCATCCATTATATTGCAAAAGTGTGTGATTTTTTTTTTGGTTTGGTACCTGCCTCAGATTTTGACGTAATTTGTATACCCAACACCTCGGCAGGTTTTCATTGAGGAAAAAACGATCAAACTATGATGCAGCATGATTTCTCTCTAAATCTAACAGATCACAGATTACATTTAGAACAGTATCTCACTTTGTGTCCAGGGTGTTGAGGAAGAGACTGTGTACGATCTTCCTCTCCTCGTCTGTAGGAGCCACTTTGAGCAACGACGCGGTGCTCAGTTCCTGGCGGCGGGATTTATTAGCTACAAAACACACAAAAACAAAAATATGATAAAGAGATAAGAGGGGGAAAGCTTCTCACAATTAGTAGCATTACATTTCCTCAACAAAAGGTAGCGTAGGGATTTTGTACCTTCTCCTTCCTGAAAAATCTTCTCCTCCTCTGGGCCCTCTGGCTTCAGTGGATTCACATAGGCGGCTCTGAATTACAGACGAGGAAATGAGGAAACACAAAGAAGGTTGTCCACATGGGTTTCAGAAGAGTTAAACTGTAAATAATAAAAGAAAACTCTCCATAATAAAAAAATAAGCATAAGTTACATTCCTGTGCAATAAATTCTGAATGGAGCTCCTTATTAACCATTGCTTTAAATCTGTCCCACTCCTTTGTACCTCTTGTTCTCTGGATCCCGGGCCACCATGACAAATGTAGCATCCAGCACCGGGGAGTACGCTCCATCATGGTACTGAAAGATGAGTCACATTATTGCCGTTCACACTGCTTATCTGTAACATTCTCATTGTTACAGTCTTTGTTATGAAGCTGTTATTTCTGTTGTTACAAGCACTCATATGTTGATTAAGCAATCTGGGCGGCAGCTTATTCTGAGGTTATATTGTG